CTCTCCCCCCTCCCTCCCTTTCCACACACATGCCATTCTGGTTGCTATTCCCTTAAAAAGAGAGACGTAGACCCGCTGGATGCAGGGACCGAGCCAGGAACGGGACACCCCACAGAACTACAACAGCAACCCACAAAGGGAGGAAACCTCCCTGCGTTCGCCACTTCTGAACAATCATTGTCACAAAACTCTTTATCTTATAATGGGACCTTCTCCTCCCATGTTGCTGGTGACTTGTGAGTAATGTTTCCTCTCAGGAGTAAGGAGGATGTAAAAGAGTTTAATGAGTTTAGCTGCATTACTCACAGTGCTTTAATCCTCAGAATATAGAAGTTTAAAAATACAGTGTTACATAAGGGCTGTCCCAAAATAAGGGCTGTGTTGCCAACGTGAGCATCCATAGCTGGTGGGTCTGCTCTGACAGGGAACTCTGTCTCTTCCCACACACATTGTGAGGGCCTCGAATGGCACTACTTCCATTTTCCTAATTTACTCATCAGCATTTTTCTATTAAGGACTCATGCCACAGTGAGACATTACTCTTCTTAGAAAAGGCCTGCAGCACGGCCAACTGGGCACTCATGAATGACTTGGAGAGCATCCGGAGCCCTTCGACAAGTCACCACAACCTTTACCAGGACAATCAGCTTTCCCATCCATGGGGCTCTCCACCACCAGTGACCCTGAGCCAGGGCTGGCACTGGCCACTTCCCTCGGGGAGCTGAGAGGAAGCAGGGAATGAACCGTGGACTTTGAGTCCTCTGCACCCTGGCACTGTTCTTCTAAAGTCAGCTCAGTGCATGCAGGCTCACACGTGGGTCTCTGCACATGTGTGTATGCTCTACTGGAAATAAAAAACCTCAGTATATACGTAAAGAACTAGGCAAGTCTTTCCCCTTTGTGAATTATATGTGGAAAAAGACACCAAACTGAGGTGATTAAGGATGAGGAGTAATTCAGTGGAAGAGCTGGGGTCAGCAGTTCTGTCCTGACAACTTCACCACGATCCCTCTCTGGCTTACTGGAAAACGTCTCCCATTACTGAAATCACCAGTAAGAAGAGCATTAGCTGATAAGGTACACATCAGACAAGGTCAAACAAGGGTTAAATAGCTGCTATTGAATGTTGAATAAAATTGTAAAATGATTATTTTTGGAATTGAAATTTATAACTTAACAGCATTTCTGCATCTCTCTACAATTCCTGGTTTCAGTCAGGCCATGCAGTTGAGGTGCTGCGGCAAAGCAAGACAGGCTGCTCTGTCACCTCATTTTTGACCAGCTACAATTATGAGGAATTTGAGATCTCAGAAGAAACCCCATGCTTTAGAGATTTCAAGCCAAAACTTTAAATAAGCATCTAAACTTTTGGATACTTAGTGTGAATCCCTAAGGCACTCTGAGATTTGCTTTTTGCTGGCATATACAGCTGGACTGAATATTAAAATTTGACAGCAGATTTTATATGTCTAGAATACCACTATACATCATTAAATGAACATTAATCATTCAAATTCAAGCTTTGTATGTGTTATTTGCTTGCTAGGGAGTACATCAAACCGGAACAGAATAAAAACAGAAGCAATGTACTTAGAGTAAATTCTATAGTATGAATTCAGTCCATAAATTGTTCAGACTGAACAATTCAGCATAACAAATGCCAACTGAGTTAGGTTATGGATAGTTTATGTTAAATAATCTAATAAGGGTCTTTCAAAACCAAAACAGTGTCTTCCAGTCCTACTGTAAATGCATCAAGATTTCTGAGTCTGGAATACAAAAGTCAGATTCAGTGACTCATTAGAGTCTCACCTGAATTAAAATTAAAACCAAGAGCTTGTTAAATCTTTAATCACAGAAGAAAGCACCCGAAGAGCAAAGGCGCTGTGTGTGAAGCCTTATTCCTGTTGCATGTACTTGTGGTCACACAATTAATCAAAGGAATCAAATTTATTTCCACCGACATCATTTAAGAACGACAAATCCCCTCTAAACGCGTTCAGCACATATTTCGGCAGATCTTTTTGGAACACTCCCTTCTCCAGGGGTCAAAACCTCGCGGAGCACGAAGTTACCAAACCCCAAACCCCTTCCAAATATCTGGGGTACGTTCCCAACCCTTCCTGTGCCGCCCCCTCCCCAGCAGAGCCCGGTGCGGCGGCGGATCGCCAGCGCCGTGCTGCCACCTGCCGGGCACA